GCACTGGCTGCTCTTCCAGAGAGACTATGTTTAGCACCCACATGGCAGCTCACAACTGTCTGTAGTTCCAGTACCAGGGGGATCCAACACACTCACACAGACAAACACACATAAAGTAAAACTAAATCTTAAAAAGAACGATGCTGAAAACTAAGCTACCATACAACTCTGCTAACCCACTGTTGGGTAACCCACTCTTGGGGATACACTGACACACTAAGTCACACCACACACAGACACTTGTGCCTCCATGTTTATTGCTGCACTGTTCACAACGGCCAGAGAGTGGAACCTGTCATGTGACCAGCAACCGATGAACACAGAAAATGTGGCACATATACACAATGGAATATTACTATGTCATACAGAACAATAAGCTCACAGCACTTGCTGGGAAGATGCCATTGGACAGCACTCTGCTAAGTGAGATAAGTCAGACTCAGAAAGATAAGTACATATTTTATCTTATATGTGCAAGAATGTTATTTATATATGTATCTGTTTTGAGATAAAATCTTACTATGTAGCCCCTGCTAGCCTGAAACTTGATAGGAATTTGACTGGCCTCAAACTCACAGAGATCTGTCTGTCTGCTTCCTGAGTGCTAGGATTAAAGGCATGAGCCACCAGCTTTAAATGTGAATTGTTTGACTTTTATTTTATGTTTATCAGTGTCTTATCTGCACGTATGTCTGTGCACAAATGGGGCAGGAGAAGGTTCTGGAGTCCCTAAAACTGGAGATACAGATGGCTGGTTTTAAGCTACCATATGGATGCTGGGAAACAAACCCATATCCTGTGTAAGAGAAGCAAGTCCTCTTAAGCACTGAGCTATCTGTCCAGCCCCATGGAAACTTGGTGTAGGGGTGGGGGTCGGGGACAGGACTAGAAAGGACATCATAGGAAGGAAGGAAGGAAGAAGGAAGGAAGGAAGGAAGGAAGGAAGGAAAGAAGGAAGGTCAGAAGATGTGAGGCAGGATAGTGCAGTGGTTCTCAACCTTCCTAACACTATGACCCTTTAATGAAGTTCCTCAGGCTGTGGTGACCCAACCATAAAATTATTTTCATTGCTAATTTGTGACTGTAAACTTGCTACTGCTATGAATCATAATGCAAATATCTGTGTTTTCTGATGGTCTTCGGAGAGACATGACTCCCAGGTTGAGAATCCCTGGGATAGTGGCTAGCAGACCTGAGGAATCTTATGAGGAAGAAAGAGACCAGATGAATGGTGGACCCCTTCTTTCAGTCATCATGCCTCTCTGACTGTTTCTAAAGCTAAATTCTACACTGCTGATAACCAAATAATTTACAAAATAATTTATGACCTTGTGATAACAGTTCCCTTAGCCAAGACCCTTGCCATTTTTCCCAACTTATTAACCCTTTCCTTCCTGACAGTGCCTCCAGCTTAAAACTAATTTTATAAACTAATAAAAATAATGAAATCTAATTACCTCATAAATAATCATATTCTTTTATATGTTGATAACTATACTTATAGTCATGATTAATTACCAAAACAAACTTTATTTAGCCTCCTATATATGGTTTCAAAGTTCAACAAAAAGTAAATAACTAAAAACAAACAGTGGTTTTCTATTTGGATATCCTTTAGATAGACAGGTGTTCTTCAGACACTTCAGAGATCTTCAGAGTATGGCATTTAAAATGTTCAATAAGAAAGCTTTTCATAAGAGATACACCTGCTTCTGACAGCACCATTGGTCTCCTCCCAAAGAGATAAGCACAGGAGAACCTTCACCTGGGAGTTTGCTTCAAATTTGACAAAGCAGGCCACTGGGCTGCAAACTGTCCTGGTCACCACTGCTGATAACACAGTGTCCAAACTGTGGATGGGCAAGACACTGGGAAATTGACTCACTTTCCCTAGACAAGGTAGGTCAGTTCCCCTAAATTCCTGCTCCACAGGAAAGTCTGTAAGATTTTCTGGGCCTGTAGGCCAAAAATGGATGCCCCAGTGACCACAGAGGAATCCTGTCCATGTAGCTGCTAAGTCTGTGTCATGTTTAATAGACTCAGAGCTGCTCATTCTTTACCTCACTTCCTGCTTACTCACATAAGATTTATCCTCTTAGGTCTCATGGATTTGAGGGTCAGTTTACTAACAAAAACCAAGGGCTCAGTTGCCTTCTCAGTCTTCTTCATGGGTAAAGATCAATCCTCAACCCTCACTCTCCTAAAGCTGCCACTGCTGGGTCTAGACTCATTTTACCTTATTACCAGAATTAAGAAAGATTCCTATATAACTTTTTACAATTCCTTTATCTAAAGAAACTCACTTTACAATGACTGCTCTCAGTGATCAACCACCTATGTCTCATGTCAAATAATTGGGTAGGCAAAAATATAAAGTTTAAAGTTTATGTAAGGCCTAAGGATAAACAAGCTTCTAAGGAAGTGTTTAAGGATCTAAGAAAATGTTTGAGGGTCTAGGAAGGTGTTTTGAGATTGATAATGTAAGGTAAGAAGATTGGAGGGTGTAAAAAGCTTAGACAACACAAAAAATGATTTAAGGTATTGGAGAAATGGAAAGTGCTTCTGATTCTGATCCCTCACTATGTTACTGCTGTATCAACCTTCAAAAGTTCAAAATTTTACTATTAACCAATAGAGTTCTGATCCACTATTAGTCTAACTCTGATAAAGCCTTCCACTGTTGATCCACTATTATTGTAGTCACATGCTCAGGACTTTAAATTTCCTCTTGTTGTTTTCTAAATATAGACTTAAAAGTATTTCTCATTAAAAAGGTAGTCGAATCTAGATGCATCCAGCCTTCTGGATAGAGGAAAGAAGTCCCTCTTTCACAATCTCTAATCATACTGCAAATCAGGATCAAGGGAGCTCTTGTCCCTTCTGTCTCACAGAAGGTTTGTGTTCCCTGAGCTCACCTTAAAGAGTCTTCATGCTTTTAACCCAAAATCATTTGCCAAGCCTCTACTATGACACAAAGGTATGAGTTTACTGCCTTTCCTACAATGTGAGTTTCAGTGTAGATTACAGACAATGATGTCTTAGTCAGGGTTTCTATTCCTGTACAAAACATCATGACCAAGAAGCAAATTGTGGAGGAAAGGGGTTTATTCAGCTTACATTTCGACATTGCTGTTGGTCACCAAAGGAAATTAGGATAGGAACTCACACAGGGCAGGAACTTGGAGGTAGGAGCTGGTGCAGAGGCCAGGGACAGGTGCTACTTACTGGTTTGCTCAGCTTGCTTTCTTACCATCCCAGGAATGACACCACCCACAATAAAATAGGCCCTCCCTCCTTGATCACTAATTGAGAAAATGCCTCACAGCTGGATGTCATGGAGGCATTTCCTCAAGGGAGGCTCCTTTCTCTGTGATAATTCCAGCTTGTTTCAGTTTGACACATAAAACCAGGCAGTACAAATGTTAATGCTAACTTGTCTCAAACTTACCTCTTTGTGTAAACTCAGAAGCTTCAGTGGCCCTACAAAAGTAGAGGATCTTAACCTCCTCGCAACTGATAAGGGTGAGACCTGCATGTTCCCTGGGGAAACAACAAGCCCATGGAGACTCAGACTGAGTCACTCCACAAACTGTCTAAAGAACTCCACCCAGAGGCTGGAGAGAAGGTTCAGTGGTTAAGAGCACTGTCTGCTCTTCTGGACGTCCTGACTTCAATTCCCAGCAACCACATGGTGGCTCACAACCATCTGTTATGAGATCTGATGCCCTCTTCTGGTGCGTCTGAAGACAGTGACAGTGTACTCACACACATAAAATAAATAAATCTTAAAAAAATAAAAAATAAAAAAAAAGAACTCTGCCCATATAAGCAGGACGTATCTGCATTCCACTCTTTGTGGCAGCCTTTGCTCTTCACACAAGGCTAGCTCATTCATAGGACAGAAGATACCAATCTATTTTTCTTCTAGCTGTATGCCTTCCCCTGGGATTCCACCAGTGGGATTTTTGAAGTCTCCAGAATGACAGACAACCAATTCCTTCTGCACCCATACCTCCCAAGCTTGAACCCAGCAACCCCTCACCCTCCCACCTCATGCCATTCCTCTTCAGCAGGAAGCAGCCAGATCTGATTGGGAGCCCTGGACAAAAAGAGGTTGCCATGTTAGGATGGAACCCCTGCTCATCTCCAGAACAAGCCGGGAAACCCCAACTGCTTCTCCTTCCCTCAACTCTGCGTGCTTTTAGAAAACTCTAGGGTAACTTGTCATCACTTCTCATCTCGGAGTTTCCGGGCAGGGCTCAGTTTTTGACCATGGATGGACACAGTCCCAGCTCCTAGATCACGTGTCATCACTCCACTTCCTAGAACCATAAAACCTTCTTGCTTTAGCCTGGATGCGCAACTTCCCTGACCTCCATGTGTGACATCAGTGAATCCACCTGAGATCTGCCTCCTAAGAAACCTGCCCTATCTAGTTTTAATCTGGTCTAATCTGGTCTGTGTTTGCATCACTGAGAAAGAAAGCATCTATCAGGAAGAAGCTGTTGCTACTTCCACCTCTCAGCAAGCTAAGGCTTGCTGCACTATGGAGGTGGTGTGGTCCCCACCGAGTACCAAACACTTCTCCTAGGTGTGCAAGCTCCCAGGGGTGATCAGAACCTCTTGGCCACATCAGTTAGATACATCTTCTCTCTAGACACAGAGCCCAGGAACTCCCCTGTGCCATGAGATTTGTTGATTCCCAGAATCTGCCTGTCTGTAGGTCACAGGAGTGAGGTGGTAGCCATCACATCCATCTTGATTCTGTGTGGGCAAACCCCACCCTTCCCCCATCCTACTGATGATCCAGTATCCCCCAGAAACGCAGCACTATGCCTATGTTTGTATATTTATTGAATTTTTCCAACACCTGGGTCTCGTTGCATTCTAACCCTGTGACTGAGTTCGGTACTTGGCTTTCCTAGAGGCTAGGCGTGGCAAGATTCTGCCCTGGCTGGAGGGTAGGACATGGAGATGTTGCTGGAAGGGAGGCCTGCAGGCTAATGAGGTTTCTGGCCTAGACTAGACAATAGGGCCAGGGAGGCATAGAGAGCACATGTGGGGCCCTGAGAAGTTGGTTTCCAGTGCACCTGGGGGGGTTCCACCTGCAGCCTTAGGCCACATTCTTCTAGCAAGACCCAGGTGGGAGCCTCCTCATCCCAGCTGTCCCCAAGGAGCTCGGAGGGCAGGGACACAGATCTCTGCTCCTTCCATGGGGTGCTCTTTTCCAATATGTGCTCCACCTATCAACAGAGGAGGGTATGAGGTAACAAAGGCTGCCTGTAGTTTGAGCCCGAGGGAAGCAACCCTTTCCCCTGTCAACCTCGATGTCCCCAGGGCCCCATTCCACCCCCAAGGCCAGGTCTTCTCACCAACTCCAGCTGCTTTGACAGTACTGTTCTCTCCAGATCCTTAGCTAGCAGCTGCCTCTGAGTTTCACTCAGCACTGGGGAGAGATCTGGTCTCAGATAGGGTTCCAGAATGCCCCATATAGAACCTAGTCCTCCCTTCCTGTCCCTACTAATGCCTCCTTGAGCTGCTCACCATTCAGTGCTCCCAACAGGTAGAAGATAGGGGCTGCGAATTCCAGCACCAGCTCTCCAGAATGGAACACCAGACACTCAAGGGTGCCACCTGCTGGGCTGTCCAGAGGCTCCACCTTCCCTCCACTGCACAGACCCTGCCCTAGCTGAGGGAGGGATGGAGTAAATGAGGCTGAGCAGGTTTGTCCAGACCCTGTCCACCACCAGCACTCTCACTCACTGAGTCCTCTAAGGCTTCCAGGCGGGGCTGGTCCTGTAGAATCCTCCCGATGTCCACTAGTAGCTGTTGTCTCAACTCCATTTTTAATTTCCCAAGTTCTAAGGAACCAGCCTTCACCTCTGCACACAAGCCTTGGAAGTCTTCCTTGAATTCTTCTTCCTCAGGGGTTCCATCTGCAGGGACTGAGGGCAGTACCACCTGAAGCCCAAGAGGTCTTGGGGAACATTAGTTAGGAGGGGTAGGTCCAGGGAGCAGATGCAGAAGCCGTGGAGTTCCAGGGAGGTCAAGGGGTTGCTCACCTTCCATGCTCAATGACTGAATGTAGTGCACTGTGACCTGACCTACCTGCCATCTTCCCATGGCGAGGGACCAAGTGGGACTTGGGGTATTTGCGGGGAGGTTTTAGTGCAGAGCACAGATTAAAGCTATGGCGCTCCCGGTCCACTCCTCTTCTGCGGCCTAGGCAACAAATCAGGATGGTGGTAGGGGAAGAGCTGTTTTGATTAGTGTCCCAGGGACCATTGTCTCATGTCAAAGAAGGCTGAAATCTTTACCTGACCCACCCAGACCCATACCTCCTACTAATGGCAGCCCACGGCAGATGGAAAGCTAAGCAGGCCCAGCAATGTCACCTGAGTTGAGCCTCACCCATTGTGTATACATGTGTATGTGTGATGTGTGCCCACCTCATGCCCTGTGCACAGAACACCTCAAAGCTATGGGGCATGTAAGGCCAGAGTGTCTGGAACCTTACCTGAGGAGGACTCAAAGGTCCTCTTTTTCTCATCCGGGAAGAGAATGATACCTAGCAGCAGGCAGAAGCAAACAGGTCATCAATCCCTATCCCTAAGGCTCCTGGGACCTCATGAGACCCTGCCCCTATGACCCACATCTCAGTTCCTGGCACACTTTAACATCCTGTCTGGGAGATCATGCAGCCAGATACCCACAGCATCCCCTGGCTAGCTGAAGTGCTTCTCTGCTACAGAGTCTGGACTCTAGAGACAGTCCTTTGCCACTCACTCCATGTAGAGCCAATGACCAGTTTCGCCACTCGGAATGCAAGGACGCTGCCTGGAGGAAGGGTCACCATCTTCTTCTGGCTTTGGTGGCCCTTGCCTTCAACCTGTAGGATGGATATGTGCTCAGGGGTGTAGATTGAATAGCTATGAGTGGAGTGTTGGTGACAGCCATGTCATTGGTAATGGCCTCACCCAGCCTTTAGCAGTTCTACCTAACTGGGCAAGTGGGGCTATGGCTTGCTTCTGGAGGTGTCTTAGAAGAGTCTTCCATCACTGCGTGGGATATTGCCCCTGGCTTCTTAGATTCCTGCTGTGTTCCCAAGTAGGACAAGACTGGTGTTAAGGTTAGCATAACATACCCGAAGGAATGTGAGTTGAGGCAGTGTAATCTTGCCTGAGCCCCCCAGGCTGTGGGACTGCTTGATCTTCACCTCCTCCTTTGTCTGCAACACCTCGGTGATGACAAACACGTCATCCCCACGACCCCGAAGCTGTTGCAGGAGTATACTCTCAGGCTGTTGCAGGTTCCTACAGAAAGATTGCCAGGGCTTTCCCACAGTGGACCAGCCTCCCACCCTACCATCCTGCTGACAGGTGAAAATTAGAAAGGCTAGGGAATCCAGGAGGCTGTGGATACCAGACTTGGCATCCCTTCAAGGGCGTTCCCAACAGTGTCTAGGTGCTTGTGAGGGTAATGACATGTTCAAAAAGGACAAGTGGACGCCTGTGTCTGTGGAGGGAGTCCATTATGTACGATCCTTCAATGTTCCAAGTCCACATCACCCTCTTTCCATAGCAACCAGGAGCTCAGCCTGAGTCCAAGGGACTTGGGCCCTTCCTTGATATCCTGATCTTCAGGATACACTCCTGGCAACCAAGGTTAAACTACTTCCCCACCTGAGATTGTTTATAGTGCTCACTTCCTCTTGGGCTTCCCTTGTTCAGTACTGAGAGATACTTCCTCACGTTCTGATGCACAGAACACAGTAACTTTCCCAAGAAGCATGGCTGCTCAAGGTAAGAGAGCTGTCATCCCTGCCGGGACTCACCTTTCACTCTTCATGATATCCCAGGTCTTTGGATTCACACGCAGCATATACATACTCATGGAGGCACTGGAACTGGCAGACACTGCAGCCTCAACAGAAATTCTCTCTTTTCCTATGGGTGACTCTACAGCCACAGTGCCCTGAATTTTCCCATCGATGTCGTCAGAGACTTGCAAGGGGCCAACACACTCCGGTTCTAAAATGAGACCAGCTCTACAGTCCTATTCCAGTAGCCACTGCCTTGTCTTTTCTCTGTAGCAATGGGGCCTTTAAAGAACTCCCCACACTGGAAATAGGGCCAAAGGAGTAGAGCTGAACATGCCCAGTAAGATGCCAGGGTGGGCTTCACACACTCCCTTCTTCTATTCAGTCTGGGGACTCAGGATGTGGAAGAGGGGAGCGGGTAAAGGGGGTACCTGGTTCTGGAGCACTGGGTTCCAGGATGTCCTTAATTGACAGGTTGACAAATGTATAACGGGGTTTCCAGAACCATGAGCTTGATAGTTTCCTGCTCAGGAGGCTGTAAGGCTTTAAGCTGATTGAATTTGGAACATAGTCCACTGGGATGAGCTCTCCTTTGTTGCAGTCCACCTCCTGCATCACACTCTTGACCTTTCTCTCAAAGGCTGATGTCATGATCCTTGGGGCGGATGGCAGAGGTCAATACTCAGTTTCTCCCAGCACTCAGGACCCACATCCCTTCAGAGTAGCCTTGCCTTGTTAGTCCTGGCACATCCTGCCCGACCAACACAACACAGAGGACACTGTTCCCTCTGTGGCTCACTTATCTGTCTCTCCCTGGGGTCTCTGGGACTTGACTGAGGAGGAAGAGGAGGTAGCCTATTGCAGCTGGTCCTGCACTATCCACACCACTAATTACTGTGTGTCACCCTTGACCACCTGCTGAAGTCTAAGTTACCCCATTGTGATCCCTGGCTGAGGGCCAAGGCTGGGGAAAGAACATGAGCCCCCACTTCTAAGGGACTTGGCCCAGGAGCCCACAGCAAAGCCAGTGTTCCGTGGTTCCAGAAGTCAGTGGTTTCTTCCAGGGCTCTCATGGACTGCTGAGTAACCTGATCTCCTTGAACCTTCATAGGTTAGAGGCCAAAACAAGCCTGGGGTAGTCAACTTGTGCAGTGTGCAGAAACTGTTACACCCCTCGGAAACCGGGTTAGGGCTAATGGTGGACAGTAAGGCAAGAAGACCCTTGGGGACCAGGAAGGGACTTGTGGGCCAGAGACTCAGCATTCAGCACAAAATCCTAGAGAGTGCCCTGTGCTCCGCCCCAAACCCCTGTCCCCCCATCATCTCCCTGCCAGCATCAAGCACAAACCAGGCAGGTCCCACTGTATCCCTAGTGGGTGGCCTCCATACACACTAGGCCCTAGCTGCTAGGGTCTCTTCAATCTGTCTGGTATAGTGGGGTCCGGAAGGCTGAATCCCCAACTTAACAAGCAGGCATCCAGGCCATAGAGTAGAGACCACAGCAGAGTAGGGGCGGCTGGGCTCTGGGAGGGGCCGAGTAGCAGGGTGGCTCACCTAGATCTTCACCTCTACTGAGGTATTTGGGATCACCAAGTGAAGCAAGGATGTGCTGGGGTGCTGGAGAAGGGTCTCTAGTCTGTTCAACTCGGGAGCAATGGAGCCACCAGCAAGAGCAGTTCTGCAGGTGGTGTCAGGACACAAGTGAAACCTTGAAGCTGTAGCCAGCAGTATTTAAGAAGCCTTCCTGGAACATCGGGGTGTGGCCTGCCCTAGCCTCCTCCTCCTTGCTGGAGCCCACATGGGCTTTCAGAAGCCCCCTGAGATCCTGGTAACAAGCAGTTTAGGTTTATTTTGGTCTGGCTTCCTACAACTTTGAGGCACTAATTCTTTCTTAAACACCTGGGCCATAAAAAAGATCACAATGGACTTCTCTAGAGGTATACAACTGTGCCAGTTGCCAGCACAATCAAAATTATTTAATCAAAAGTAAATAACATCAGGCTGGAGAAATGGCTCAGCTGTTAAGAGCACAGACTGCTCTTCCAGAGGTCCTGAGTTCATTTCCAAGCAACAACAGGGTGGCTCACAACCATTTGTAAGGGGATCTGATGCTCTCTTCTGGTGTGTCTGAATGGAACAATGGTGGTGTACTCATATGCGTGAAATAAAGAAATAAATATAAAAAGAATTACCATTATAAAAACAGAACACAATTTAAAAAAAACCTAGACATCATCAAAGGATTGGCTGGCTGGCTGTCATCCTAATTAAATAGTAGTAAGACGGTAGAAAAACAAACCCCGAGGTCCATGCAGACAGGAAACTGGAAACAGTAGAGCTGTTCTAGAATGCAAAGGCAATTTTTCAAACGGGTGAATGTAGAGTTACCAGGTGACCTAGCAATGGGACTTTTAGCTGCTTATCCAAAGCAAGAGGTCATCCTGGGTTGTGGCTATCAATGGGAAGTGTTGCTGAAAAAGGAAACAAGAGATCAAACAGATCAATGTGTATACCAATGTCTAGGGTAGCATTTAAAGTTTTCTTGAGATTTAAAAAATGTTTATTTTATGTGTGTGAGTGTTTTGTCTGTATGTATGCATGTGCACGATATGTGGGTGCCAGGAACTCAGTCCTGGTCCTCTGTAAGAGCAGCAAGTGCTCTTAACCCCTGAACCATCTTTCCAGGTCTTCATGGTAAAATTTAAAGTGTCAAGCAGATAACCCTTAAGTGACCTGAATGTCCATCAACTCATACATAGATTTTGAAAACTAGTAAATATGTACAGTATTTTCCCCAGTTCTGGGCCCTGCACACACCAGGCAAGAAAGCACCCTATAACTAAGCTCTGTCACCAACGTATAGTAGGGTGCTTGCATGGCAACTGGGAGGCTTGAATACACTTCTAAGCTACACTGTAGAATGTGGATGAACTCTGAAAACAAGGCCACAAGCAGAAGAAGCCAGACCAAAACTAAACCAAACCAAACCAAACCAAAAAACCAACTGAACTCCCACCGTGTCACTGTGCAAGTTATCCTGTATGAAATCCTGATAATAATCCAATCTGTTAGTGGTTGCCAGTGACTAAGGGATGAATAAATAGGGAGAAACTCCTCATGGTTTTGGAGTGTTTTTTCCCCTGTGGTGTGTGCAATAGTCACACAGGTTTATTTATCTGTGCACTTGTTTATTTAACTTTGAGACAGGGTCTCTTTATGTATCCCCTGCTGGCCTGGAGCTCACAAGATAAACAAGACTGTCTTGGGACTCACAAAGATTCACCTGCCTCTGCCTCCTGAACACTGGGCTTAAAGGCATGAACCACCTTGCCTATACCTGTTTAAATATACTAGACAACCAGAAATATGCACTTTCAAATAGCTGACGTATATGTCATATGAATTGCTTCTCAATAGAGGCTTTGATTTTCAAAGCTCTGGACTCCCGGGGGGCTGTAGAGGTGGCCCAGGAGTTAAGAGCGTGTACACTCTTACAGAGGATTCAAGTTCTGTTCCTAGCACTCACATGGTAGCTAGCAACTAAGTTCCAGAGCATCCAGTGTGTTCTTCTGCCCTTCATGGGCACTACACACACATGGTACACAGACACACAAGAAGACAAAGCATACAATAAAATAAAAATAAAGAAAAATGCTTTAAATAAACCTGGAGTTCAGTAGAAGCCCTCAATCTAGCTGCAGGCTCCTCAGGGCCACAGTGTTCTGGTATCAGGTACTGTGGACCTCCCTTCAGCACACAGTTCCTCACAAGCAGCCCTCCTAGACCACTCTTAGGCTTTGGAGTATTGCAGCTTGAGCCCCAGGTTTAAGGTAGGGCTCTTGAGAGTGTCCCTTCTCCCAGGCTTGGCCATGGTAGGAACAGGCTGCTGCCAGGTCCAGGTCCCTTCATTGACATCTCCCAGCTCTTCAGGGATGGGATGTTTGCAGCCTGTCCAACCTTTGAAGACATATAGCTAGACAGAGCTGTTCTCTACCAGGACCCCAGAAATCAAGAAGCTCATTCATATTCTGACTCTAGAGATGTGCACGCCCTCTCTATTGGAGGGGCCCATACATGTGGTGCTGACCTGGTGTGGTCTCTCCATGATGAAGACTGGGCACTCATCTGGGTGGGAGCTTGCCTGGTACAGCTCCTTGTTCACAGTTTTGGGACTTTAAAACTAATCTGAAATGAAAAGTTCTGTGTCTGTTGGCTCCTGATTCAGACAAAAGGGAAACATTACATTGTACTGACAAAACCCCAGAACCAGTTCATTAGGTAGAGGTCTGTGGACTTTGGGTCGACCCTGAGCTCTAACTGAACTCATTTGCTGGTCATGAGTCCCTCTCCTTTCTGGTTTCAGCAGCAGGCTCGAAGGAGAGCTGCGTTCTGTATAAATCTATGTGTCCTAGTTAGCTTCAGCTGCCAGATCCCTTACCTCCCCTTCTATATACCAAAGATATCTCCTCACCTGGGACTGCCAATGAATGCAAAGATTAGAATGCAAGAATTGCCTATGTTAGATTAGCCTGTGGGAATTTCTGCGGGCCTATCGTCTTCAATGGTGATTCATGTGGGAAGGGCTGCCCATTGTGTATGGTATCATCCTTTGGTGTCCCTAAATGTGCTTGAGCTGTATAAGAGACCTATGGGAGAATAGACCTGGGAGTGAGTCGGGGACAAGCCAGCAAGCAGCTTTCTTCCTTGGTATCTGCCACAGCTTGTGTTCCTGATGTAAAGATTAGATGAGAGAAGTAGAACTTTCACCTCATTTAAGAAACTACCATTGAGACTTTCTATTGAGCTCTCAGTCAGAGAATTCCAGAAACGCCATGTCCTAGGAAATGACTCAGCCAAGGTATGGGTGATACCCCTTACCTCCCCTTCTACATACCAAAGATATCTCCTCACCAGGGCCTGACATTGAATGCAAAAGACTATGGACCCCACCAATGGGAGACAATCAACTCATGATGTGTAAAACCTATAATCTGTAGAAGTTTAAAAAGTGAATGCTTTTTTTCTTCGGGTTTCGTTTCTCTGATTGTGGGATGGCCCCAGCGCGCTGGATAAATCAATAAACCTCTTGCACATTGCATCGATCTCTGTCTCTGTGTCTTTAGAGAGGCACATACTGGACATTGGAAGCAGTACTCTGGGTCTTACACTGACCTCCTTCAAATAGGAACTGAGACATACAAGCCAAATACATCCTTTCAATCCCACAGCAACAAGAAGCAAACCCAAACAGTATGTGCATGTTGTACACATATGTCTCTATATCTGTGTGTACTATATGGACATGTGTCTGTTTACTTGTTCATGTGTTTGTACCTGTAAGTGTATGTGTTCATGTTTCTAGATGAGCATCTGCAAGCATGTGTATCTGGAAGTATAGATGCTTTTGTGTGTTTATGTGTGCACATTTGCACAGTGCACGAGTTTGAGTGTATCAGTGGGGCTTGTGCCAGGCCAGGGCTGTCCACTGCAGGAAGTGACTCCATCTGACATACCAGGTCTTCAATCTTTCCCTGGTCCTTGTCTAAGCAGCACTGACCCTTATGAGCCCTCCTCAGCCTTGTTCCTTATTTCTCCCTCTCCAGTTGGGCGAGCTCTAGGTCAGGGACAAGGACAAGTAGTCTTTGTTTATT